TATTGGTTATTTAGCAAGAAAACCTGTTTGGTCTCTGAATAACGAGCTTAACGAGTTACAATCAGTCAGGTTAGCTCTTTAATTAAATTCTATTCAATGTATTTCTATAGCTCCAATTCAAAACACATGTCATCTCGAGGCATTTTTCAGTTCACCAGATCATCCAGTCAGATTGATTCAAAGTTTTCTATCTAAGGAAAACCAGCTGATTGCATCGACTCATTGACTCTTCAGCAATCCCTCACACTAAGCATGCTTGTAGCGACAGTGGAGAGGAAAAACTCCCTTTGAACAGGAAGAAACCTCCAGCAGAACCAGGCTCAGTGTGAGCGGCCATCTGCTGAGGCCCACTGGGGTTCAAGGAGACAGAAGCAGACATAGAAAAAGAAGCATAGATACAAAAGGCAACTGCAAAAGGCGACCAGTCCAGGAACCGTCCAGGAAACACACAGCCAGGCAGAGATTGAACTAACAGACTCTGCAGAGTGAGAGAATAGAGATAGAATGAAGCAGAATGATGAAAAAGGGGTCCCTATGTCCTCCAGCAGACTAAGCCTACAGCAGCATAACTATTGAGATAGCTCAGGGCGGGGCCCCGATCCAGCACTAAAATGGTGGTATCGGTATCAGCGAGTACCAACAAATAGGGCACCGATACCAGTTTGAGAGCCAAAAGGTAGGCAATAAAAAGTTCTACTGGATTCACTTTGTTTTAGTCCTTTTCCTGCTTCACAAAGGAAGGCAGCAGCTTGATAAAGCCATGATGGCAATTATTTTACATCCAAGTAGTATGTTGTTCTTCATATAGAGAGACATACATCAATTTCAAACGGATGGTATCGGTATCGGCTGATGCTTCAAAGCCAGGTATCTGATATCAGGTATCGGTATCAGGGCCAAAAAAGGGCATCAGTGCAACCCTGATATTGTATAAACTTGCAATTTGTTGCCATTTTTAGCCGAAAAAGCTCAGTTTCTCTAACGAACAGATTTTTTTGGTGGCATCTCAAATTTTTTTTAACCAACCCGTCTCCTAACTTTTACTTTAACATCTATCAAAGTAGCTGCTGGTTAATATTCACTGAGTGCTGCTTTGTCTTTCCTCCAACCATGTAGCTACTCTGTACGTTAGTGAAATGCGACTGGAAATCAAATGTCTCAAAGCGACGGATCCGATGATGTCACATCGAGAGGTGGGACACGGGACCAGTGGGAGAGAGAGAAAAAAAACACTGTTTTAAAACGCTGTGAAGACATGTAGCTGCACCCAACCTCTGTTACCTTTGGCTAAAGAAAATGAGTGGAAAGGGGGGAAAAGTGGAGATCATTGGTGGGGACTGACCAGTCCTATAGAAAGTTACGCCTGTGCCATAAAGTTTGAATTCAGCCTGCCTTTATGTCTGGATGTGTGTTTAGATTTATAAACAAAGGCTTCATAGGAATCTGCTATGTCTTTCATGGTTTATTTGGAAAAAGCGGATCTTGTACTCATGGTTTTCCTGTTATTAATGTCGGACGACTGGTCTAAATGGGACTGAAACAGAGATAAGAGACTTTGGTTATTTGCTCTGAATGTTCCCAGACCTGTCCCACCTCACCACACACATCCAAACCAGTTTGGGAATCTTGTTTTGTCTTCCAGTCGGACCGCCGTCCTACCTCCAAGGCCAGCGGGGACTTTCTAGGAATGGTATGGGGCGAGCAGCACCGGGTCCAGAAGGGTTTTGGATGGGTTCAGAGAGGGAAACCCGACACGGCGGCTACATTTAGACCGTCAGGCTTCCATAGCTTAACCTTCGTCCTCAAACCTCTGCTGCCGTTCTTCACTCTGCAGGCTTTGTTTTCCGGCTGACGCTCCGTCCTGCTGGGCCTTGTTCCGCCTGTCGGCACCAGGTGCAGCTTATTTTCAGCCGGCTGGGATATTTCAGCGCAGACGTGTTTGACGGCTGAGCCGATGGCTTTAAATAGGCCTGAGCTGCCTGATGGTCGGCGTTAAACTTCAGGACGTTCTTCTGGGCAGGAGTCCCCTTTGGACCACGGATGACGATGAGAAGTCAGGATCTGATATAATGCTGTGAAGAGCCTAAATATAACATCACTAACGATAAAGATGATGATGGTACATGGAGGGGGCCCCTGGGGGCCTCTCCCTGCTCCACCAGCACTGTGTGTTCGCCTCTAGCTGCTCATGCTATCTTTGTCCTGCTGTTATGAGCAGACCCTGATGGGAGGCAGCAGTGGTCCTCATTGATGCTGTTCTAGATGTTTCCTGCTGATGATCCTAGAGCAGCTAAATGAAATGATTTTTGTGAATCATTAAGAGTTTCTAAGCTTGAAGATGTTGATCTTTGCAAGATTAACCCAAACCTGTAAATTCTAAATAACAGACATCGGGACAAACGTTCACTGTTTGTCCCAGTTAAGACCCGTTTAAAGGAAAAGTCCGCTCATATTCAGAATTCAAACTTCTGAAAGTACTTTAAAAATGAAATTATAACACACTTTTAAATAAATGATCAGTGTTTTTAATATATATTATAAAGTTCTGTGTAATGATCTTGGCACTGATGACTGGCTTAACCTCTTACACCCTAAGGGGGTATAAATAAATTTCTGCCTGACAAAAACACACAAAAGTAAATAACTTATAGCCTCACAGCTATTA